CTGATGTCGTTCTCTTTTCCTCAAAAACAGACTCCATATATGCATACTCTTTTCTCTATTAGTTCAAAGTCAACTTACACATATAATTCCTAGTATATGCCAGTAACAAAAATCCAACTTCTCTGAGTCCCTAAAAAAGACTACGGAAAACAGGCCAGTGTCCCCAACTGTACAAAGCACAAAGAAATTATAACTTCCCAAATTGGAGGCAATGCACAAAGAAGTGGCAAACATTTATAAAATGAATTTCAAGGCCCCCCCAAACACTGCATTGGAGTGAGATTAATGGGATTGGCCAGGCTCATATTGGACATATACAATCCTGGTCAAACACCCACGCACAGACACAGTCAGGAGCTACTAGAGCTTATATGTGAGATTCACAGCAGGTATCAGCATCAGCACCAATGATACACCAAACGACCATGCACAGTTCTGGACATCAGTCATCTTGACCAAGACATTTAAACATTACCAGATCCTGGTGTGGTGCTGGTCTGCAAGCCACAAGGTTGGTAGTTCAAACCCATCAGTTGCTGTTTGGAAACCCTGTACATGGTCGCTGAGTTGGAATCAAATCGATGGCACTTAAAAACAACAACAATGTATAAGGGTCACTGAGTCACAACCAAATGGATGGCAGTGGGTTTGTTTTTGTTTAAAAGTACAACAGCTACTAAAATATATTGCACTCATAGGTGCCAATTGGAAACTCATCAGGCACTTGGTGATGGTGGTGTCATAGCCAATTCCAATTCCTAGTGACCCCATGTGACACTGCAGAGCTCACCCATAGGGTTTTCTTAGCTGTCATCTTTATGTCCCCAATCCAAAGAAAGATGATCCAACAGAATGCAGAAGTTAATGAACAATATCACTAATATTACATGCAAGTAAAATTACGCTGGAGAGAATTCAAAAACAGTAGTAGCAGTACACTGACAGGGACTTCTGAAATTCAAGTCAGATTCAGAAGAGGATGTAGAACAAGGGATAACACTGCTGATGTCCGATGGGTCCTGGCTGAAAGCACACACTATCAGAAAGATGATCACTTTTGTTTTATTAACTATGCAAAGGTATTCGACTGTGTTGATCAGAAAACAAACTATGGATAACATTGAGAAGAATGAGAAGTCCGTAACAATTATGCTCATGCAAAACCTGTACCCAGAGCAAGAAGCAGTCAGTTATTCGAACAGAACAAGGTGATACTGCTAATTTAAACCAGAAAAGGTGTGTGTCAGGGTTGTATCCTTTCACACTATTTATTCAGTGTATATGCTGAGGAATAATCTGTGAAGCTGGACTATATGAAGAGCATGGTATTCAGATTGCAGAAAGGCTCATTAACAACCTACAATACGCAGATGGTACACCCTTAATTGCTGAATGTGAAGAGGACTTAAAGCACTTACTGATGAAGAGCAAAGCCTTTGGTATGGATTACACTTTTACACAAAGAAAACAAAAATTCTCACAACAGGAATAATAAGCAACATCATGATAACAGCAAATACTGAAATTGTCAAGGAATTTATTTTCTTTTCATCCATAATCAACACTCATGGAAGCAGCAGTCAGGAAATCAAGTGACAAATTGCACTGCACAAATCTGCTGTAAAGGCCCTTTTGAAAGTGTTAAAGAACAAAGATGTCACTTTAAGGGCTAAGGTGTACCTATCCAAACTATAGTATTTTCAATAACCTTATATATATATAGAAGTTAGACAATAAATAATAAATAAAGAAGAACTGATGCCTTTGAATTATGGTGCTGGTGAAGAATACTGATTATGCCATGAACTTGTGGAAGAACAAACAAATCTATCTTGGGAGAATTACATCCAGGATGCTTCTCTGAAGCAAGAATAAGGAGGCTTCACCTCACTTACGTTGGACATCTTATCAGGAAGCACCAGTACCTGGAGAAGGGCATCATATTCAGTAGAGAATCGGTGAAAAACAGTAAGCTCCTCAGTGAGATGGACTGATACAGTAGCTTCAACATTGAGCTCAAACATAGCAACAGTTATGAGGATGACGTAGGACCGGGCAGTGTTGTGTTCTATATTATGCATGGGTCACTATGAGTAGGAACTGACTCAATGGCACCTAACTACAACAACAATGTTTGCTTAGGTCTTTCTCCCATACAGCTGCCGGGTGGATTCAAACTGCCAACTTTTTGGTTAGCAGCTAAGTGTTTAACCATGGTGCCACCAGATCTTCTTATAAAGCACTGATGGACAAAGGACCCGAGCTGTGTTTCCTGCATGAGGGAATGGCATTCAGGTTCCTGCCACCTCCTGCAAACAGCAAAGTCTTAGAGGAGGTTTGGGGGATAGATTTTCTTTCACAAGAGCCTAGTCTCCCAAGTACAAATAAAATTCCATACGTATAGCTTCAAATTATACCCAAATTAAAAATTCTTAGAGAAAATTATTAACTTTTACAATTCTACCATCTAGTCTACTTTTCCAAATGTGCCTTATTATATCAGATTAAGCACGCTGTCTAGTTCTCTCAGAATGATAAGGTAGTGGTGGTAGTAGTATACTAATGAGTCGATTCCAACTCATAGTGACCCTGTATAGGGTTTTCAAGGCTGTAAGTCTTATGGGAGCAGAAAGCTTCTTTTTTTTCCTGAGGAGCCACTAGTAGACTCGAACTGCTGACCTTGAAGTTATCAGCCCAACACATAACTATGCTACCATGGTTCCTTGATAAGGATGTAAGAAAAAAACAAAACAAATTTTACCTTCTATATCACATTGTCTTCTGATATCACTACCTCTTCTTATCCCATTGTCCAAAGCAGTCTCCAAAGAGCTATAACTTTGAGAAGAAGTCATTAAAAGTTTTAATTTATTTGTATGGCACTGTAGGCTAAGCACTGGACTGCTAACCACAAGATTGGTAGTTCAAACTCACCAGGGACTGCTCCTCGGAAATCCTATACAGAGTCACTATACAGCACTTAACAGCAAAAACAACAATACATTTTAAGAATGGCATTTTGGAGGAGAGAACAAATTAGATTATGGCAAAAGGAAAAGAGAAATTTGGTTTTCTCTTGTATAACTTTAATCCTTCACATGTATTATATTGAAATGTTGTTTCTGTTGTTGTGAAAGTACCATTGAGTCGATTCTGAATCACAGCATCCCTAAATAGGGTTTCCAAGGAGCGGCTAGTGAGTTTGAACCGCCAGCCATGTGATCCAAACTAACCTTGTAGTCCAGTGCCTTATCCCACAGCACCAAATACACATCTAATATTCCATACCCTTGCAAAGACAAATATTTCTATAATCAAGAGGAAGGAGAATGCAGGTAATGGGTAATAACAACTAACTGAAAGTTAATTGGATCATTGCAATGAAACGAATACGATTATACACATTGCAATGAAACGAATACAATAAGATGAGTGCAAAACTGATGTTCCCCCAATGTAAACTATCACTCAATTCACAATAAAAACTTTTTTTTTTAAAAATTAATTGGATGATGAAAATATTTTGGAAATAGATGGTTATATAACATTGTGAATGTAATTAATGCAACTTAAGATTTACACCCTCGGAAACCCTGTACAGGGTCGCTATGGGTCGGAACCGACTCGACGGCACTTAATAACAACAACAATTGTATACTTAAAGGAGCTCTGGTAGCGTAGTGGTTACGAATTGGGCTGCGAACCTCAAGGTCAGCAGTTCAAAACTACCAGCTGTTCAGCAGGAGAAAGATGAGGCTTTCTGCTCCCATAAAGATTTACAGCCTTGGAAACCGTGTACAGGGTCCCTATCAGTAGGAACTGACTCCACAGCACGTAACAACAACAACAACAACAATAGTATACTTAACCAGCAAAATAGTCCATTGGATCTTATATATATATTTTACCATAATAAAAAATTTTAAGTAAATTGTATATTTGTGTGCGATACATACATACACATATACACAGAGATACCATATAGACTTTCAAAATGTTTGGAAGCTTACACCAAAAGCAAGAGCTGTTCTCTCTGAAGGAAAACATGAGTAATCTTTCTCTTCTCCTGGTTTATCTATACTTTCTAAGTTTTCTACAATGAATATTTACTATTTACATAATTTTTAAATGTATTTTTAAAAAGTAAGTAGATTCACAATAGCATCAACAGAAACATAAGCCACATCTGGAATAACTCAGAACACAGTCTGAAGGATGTCTGGACTCACAGTCAAAGGATCCAGAGAGAGAGCATGAAGTCTCTGGGGCCTGAGACACCTCCAAAGTCCTTCAACTCATATGTTCTTCTCTATGGAACAGGACACTCAAAGTGATTTTAAGCATAAACCATAAGCAACTGTATCCCCTCCACCACTCTGTTTAGACAGGTACACAAATGAGACTGAAGTTCCTAGCAACTCACCATTAATTATGTCTAACACTTGTTTTACAGTCCAGTTTATGGGTTCTGGATGTTTGAGGAACAGCTGATTCTCACTTGCCGCGTATTCAACACCAGTTAGTTATGGCAATTAATTAATCCCACCAGAAGGTCTGTAGACTACTGGTGATCTACAAGCTGGTATCACTACCTAAGTCACCCTCACAACTTCTACAACGTGCCTTTTTTATAGTCCCTTCTTGGGGGTTACTTCAGGTTGGAGTATTTATAGGTTTGCTTTACTTACTGTTTCCTTCCATGAGGAAAATGCCTTCTGTGATCATATACACACTCTCCCTCGAGTGGACAGAATAAATCCATGTGATTTCTATCACAGTATGAGTACCACAGAATTACACAATACCAATCTTGCCTGTTAATGTGAGCTCAGGATTCCCTCAAACCCATTCCATCCCACATCTCAATTCAAAGATGGAACCTTTTCAAGCAAGAAGTTCCACTGTTCACTAGAATTCCATTAGGAATCCACTGCAACTGCAGCCACGGAGTGAGTCTGAAACTGCTCTAAACACCTCCAACCCCATCTCTTCATACTCACTGTTGCTGGACTTAAGGTCTCGGTGGATGATGGGGACAATTGCTTCATCGTGTAAGTAATTCATCCCTCTAGCAATCTGCACGGCCCAGTTCACCAGGATGTCTGGGGGAATCCTTTTTCCAGATAACACTCTATTCAGCGGCCCTCCACGAGCAAACTCCATGACCAAGCAGAGGTTGGGTTCCTTCAGACACACTCCCCTAAGGGCAATGATGTTGGGGTGTTTCAGCATGGCGAAGAGCTTGGCCTCCTGGTGAACATTCTCTATGGTCTGACTGATGTCCTCATCAGGGTCATGGCGAGCTGCTTTCACTGCAACCTCTTCCCCTATCCAGAAAGCACGATAGACTTTCCCAAAGCCCCCGATGCCGATAATCTCTTCCAGCGTTAGCTCTGCAAAATCAATCTCTAACACTGAGAAAGAGAAGAAGGAGAGAAGCAAGTCAAACATGGAATGTACTCTTTAGCCCCTGGAAATACTATTTCACCATGCTGGCTGAGGGAACATGGTCAATTCCCTGCTTGCTTGGCTTGCCTATCTCCCCATTACAAAAAAAGTTAAGCTCCATTAGGGAAAGAACTGTGATTAACTATGATTCTATTCCATTGTCATTAGTGACTAGACTATAGTAGCCTTTCAATAAATATTCATTAAATAAACTAATTTAGGGCATCAATCAGGATCCTATACTAAGACCAACCATTTCACCTAATAAAGCCATTAGGAAGGGCGTTCTTATAAGACTTTTAGTATGTTTAGTATGTACTAGGTACTATAGGAGAAGCACTGGGCTGCTTCAAACCTACAAGCTGCCTTTTAGAAACCCTATACAAGGTCACTATGCATCAGGACCAACTTGATAGCACTTAACAAGGTAGGAAGACCTTGTGTGGTGCTGTAGGATAAGTACTGAACTGCCAACCACAAGGTCAGTGGTTCAAGCCCACCAGCCTCTCCATGGAAACACTATGCAGTATCACTATGAGCTGGAATCAACTGGACAGCAGTTAACAACAACAAGAGGTAGGAAGAAAGGCCTGGTGTTGTGCTGTAGGATAAACACTGGACAAGTAACCGCAAGGTCAGTAGTTCAAATTCACCAGCAGCTCTCAGAAATCCTATACAGGGTTGCTATGAGTTGGAACCAACTTGACAGCTAAGTTTAACAGTGGCTAAGTGCTCAGTTAATAACCAAACTGTTGGCATTTCAAACCCACCATCGACTCTGCAGGAGAAAGATGTGGCAGTCTGCTTCCATAAAGCTTTACACCCTTGGAAACCAGATGGAGCACTTCTACTCTGTCCTAGAGGATCATTATGAATCAGAATCAAATTAACAGCAATGAGTCTGATTTTTTGGAGATAGGGAGGTTAACAGTTTAATGCCAAGCAGACACACACCAATCACACTGTAATGTAGTAGATCTTTCATAGAGATATGCTCAGAGTATTAGGGGTCTCTCTAAATCCCACAGTGGAGCAAGTGATTGAGAAGATGATCAGAGAAAGGACTCACAGGGAAAGCCCTATTAGAAATGGGCCATAAAGAAGCAATGGAAAAGGGAGAGCCAATGTTTGGGAAGCAATAACATTGTATATATTATGATGAAGGAAAACTTGGCAATAATTATGGGTGTTGGTTACAATTAATGTGATTGGTATCATATTGTACACCTGAAAAATGTTGAACTGGCAAATGTGTTAAATATATTTTTACAACAATTGAAAACAAACATGAACAAAGAATGAATGAAAGAAATCTCATCAGGCAATGTAGAAGATGAGGATGGAGACAGACAATCCAGGATGTGCAAGAGCAAGAACATGGGGCCCAACAGTGTGTGGTATATTAGGAACTTTTGGGAGTCTAGGCTAGATTATATGCATTAGGATGCAAGACAAGGCTCAAAGGCCTTGATGAGGGCAGGTAGGTAATGAAATTATTTGAAAAGCATTCTGAGGAGACTGAACTTCACACTGTAAATATTAAGGAGTCATGTATCTTTATGAAGGGGAGTAGAGTTAGATCAGTAATTTACAAAGGAAACCAACTCTGGCAATCAAGCAGACCTAGATGATGGAAAGCCTGAGGTGAAAGGAACCATCGAAACAGTCACCGCAATTAACCAAGTGTATGAGTACAAGGGCTTGAAACTCAGCATCAAGTGAAGATGGGGAGCGCAGAGGATATTAGGAACACTTTCTGAAGCTGGTTCTACCAGGACCTGGAGACTAACACACACAGAAAAAAGCCTCACAGACGACATCTTACTTGAGCAGTGATGTTCCCAATATCACACCTAACTCTCATTCTCTTTCACCAACACAGAGTGTGAAAGTTAGGTCTTTAATTATAGAATCTTCATCTCTGTTTGGAAAGACCCCATGGATTGATAATAAGAACTACCAGTGACTCTAAATGCTTGGCTAGATCTGGTGCTAAGTGATATGGGAGTAAAGTGCTATTCTATTTTTTTCTCAAAAATTGTGTTCTCTATCATTCTAGTCTTATTCATCTTTCCCGGGCTGGCTCATCCTCATCCCACAGCTCTCAGGGATCTTAAACGTTACCTCCATAGAAGAACTTTACATAACCTCCATATTAAATGAGGTCAGGTCCCCATCAAACATTTCTGTAGCATTCTCTATTTTGCAATAGAGAAACTCATCAATCAGGGTTGTAATTACTTGTTCCTTGCCTGTCATCCCTGCCAGACTGTGAGATCCACATGGGCAAAGATTCTGCCTTATTCACCTCTGTATTCATCATGCTGAACATGTAAAAGGTGATCATCAACAGACAGATGAACAACAAAGAAGCCAAACCCACCGTCACTGAGTTGGTTCCAACTTATAGCAATCCCATAGGACAGAAAAGAACTGCCCCATAGGATTTTCCAAGGCTGTAATCTTTATGGAAGCAAACTGTTACATCTTTCTGTTCCCAAATCATTGGTGAGTCCAAACTGTCCATCTTTGGGTTAGCAGCCCAGCTCTTAACCAGGCTCCTTATACTGTTGAAACAAAATGAAAAAAGAAAAAAGAAAAAAAAAAAAAAACGAGGAAATAAACCAATTCATTTTTTGCAAACGAATGTTGGACTTGACCTTCCAAAATAAATAGAGAGTAGTCAAGTTTTGCTCTAGAAAACAAAGATATAATTTTGAACATTTGGCAAGACCCAAAGAAGAGCTGCCCACTGCTAGCTGCTTCCTTCTTTACTCAGCCAGTTCCACCACTCTTGCACTCTCCATTCAGATGCTGGTGGAGTTCAAAAATCTGTATTTGTTTAATTATAGTTCTTCCATTCTAGCTGGGAATACTTTACAATGTCCCAGGCATTTCATTTTTCATTCATTTTTTATTTTGTAATGCAACTGGCAGTCAGCACACAGGAAACAATTAAGAAAAATTAGGTGGACTGCCTTTTGGCATACAAAAAGCATGACCCTATTGATCTCCAACGTTCCAATTGTTCCAAAGTTCATTACCTCATCTGACAATCCTCCTGAAAAATTAATGGTATGACAGATATAGTAGTCTAGCAATCAGCATCCCTTCTGAAATATTCCAGCATGCCTTTCAGTACTACAGAGGCCAGAAAGCTAAAAACTACATTTCCCAGACTCCCTAACAGCTAGAGTTCTGGGTATAAAACATTCTTGGTGCACTTAGGTGCCTTTAAGTCAGTTCTAACTCATAGTGATTCTATTCACAACCGAATGAAAACACTGCCCGGTCCTATGCTATCCTCACAATAGTTGTTATTTTTGAGACCCTTGTTGTTGCCACTGTGTCAATCCATCTTGTTGGGAGGGGAAGTGGTCTCTTTTTTGCTGACCCTTCACTTTACCAATCGTGATACCTTTCTTCAGAGACTAGTCCCTCCAGATAATATGTCCACAGACCCAGAGACAAAGTCTCATCATCCTTGTTTACAATGAGCTGTACTTCTGGCAGTTCATGGAAACTTCAATATATTTTGCCAACACCAGAATTCAAATGCATAGATCCTTCTATAGTGTCCCTTATTAACTGTTGAAGTTTCATATGCATATGAAGTAATTAAAAATACCATGGCTTGGGTCAGGCACACCTTAGTCCTCAAACTGACATGTTTGCTCTTGAACACTTTAAAGAGGTCTGATTTATTGACTGCTGATTCTCTATGAGCAATGACGGTGGATCCAAGCAAAAGGAAGTCTTTGAAAACTTCAATTTTTTCTCCATTTATCATGATGTCATTTATTGGTCCCGTTGAGAGGATTTCTGTTTTATTTACACTGAGGTGCAATCCATACTGAAGGCTGTAGTCTTTGATCTTCATCAGTAAGTATTTCAAGTTCTCTTGACTTTCAACAAACAAGGGTGTGTCATCTGTATCACAAGTTCCTAATGACTCTTCCTCCAATACTGATGTCACATTCTTCTTCTTATAATTCATCTTCTCGGATTATTTGTTCAGCATACAGATTGATTAAGTATGGTGAAGAAATACAACCCTGACACACACCTTTCCTGATTTTAAATCATTCAGTATCCCCTTGTTCTGTTCAATCACCTGCCTTTTGGTCTATGTATAGGTTCCTTATGAGCACAACTAAGTATTATGGACTACCCATTCTTTGTAATATTATACAGTTTGTCATGATCCACAAGGTTTGAAGCCTTTGCATAGTTAATAAAGCACATCTTTCTGGTATTCTCTGATTTCAGTCAAGATCTATCTGATATCAGCAATGATCTCCTTTGTTCCATGTCCTCTTCTAAATCCAACTTGAATTTCTGGCAGCTCCCTGTTGATATGCTATTGCAACATCATTCTGAAACATAATTAGCTAAATTTATTTGAACATGATACTGATATTGTTCAATGATTTTCGCATTCTATTGGGTTACTTTTCTTTGGCATAGGAACAAATGTGGATCTCTTCCAATTGGTTAAGCAGGTATCTTTCTTCCAAATTTCTTGATGCAGACAAATGAGCACCCTCAGTACAGCATCAGTTAGTTGAAACATTTCCATTGGTATTCCATCAATTCCTGAATCCTAGTATTTTGCCAATCAATGCTTACAGTGTTACTTGGATTTCTTCCTTGCATACCATTGGTTCTTGATCATATCGTACCTCTTAAAATGATTAAATACTGACCAATTCTTTTTGGTACAGTGATTCTGCAGATTCCTTCCATTTTCTTTTGATGTTTCCAGTGTCACTCAACATTTTGCCTACAGAATCCTTCAATATTGCAATTAAGGCTTGAATTTTTTCTTCAGTTCTCTCAGCTTAAGAAATATTGGTTTTGTTGGTGTTAAGTGCTATCAAGCCAGTTCCCAGAAGCATCTGGTGGGTCTGAACTGCCGACCTTGTGGTTCACAGTCCAGTGTTGATCCTACAGCATCACATCAGAA